TGTATATTTATTATGTATATATAAATACACACACATGCATGTATATATTTCAGAAAAATATGTTTATTATGTTTATTTATTTATAATACAAATTATATGAATATAAATATAGACATGGAAATACATGTAAATATTTTCAAAATATATACTGTATGTGTTTGTATTTATATATACATAATAAATATACACAGGAAACACACATATATTATGCAAACAAAAACTTTTATTTTGGATGCGATTAATCGCAATTAATCGTTTGACAGCACTAATATATATATATATATATATATACACTGTATATCACACACACATTTATTTCTTTTTTCTTCATTTGTTCTCTAAGGCTTTGGCAACTGTATATAATTTGTGTTGTTTATGTTACACACAACAAAATTGATGAGTGCATTTTAAAATTTAATAAAAAGTTTAAATTTAAATTTTTACATTTCAAATGTCAGACAAATTTCAAATTCATATTTTAAAGCCATGCCTTAAAGATCTAATGTTTAACAAAAGTTTAGATTTTTGAAGATCAAACATCAGACCTCAAATTCTATTTCCGCTTTAAAAATGTAAATATCAAACAAATTCCAAATTCAAATTTTATAAAGAAAAAAGATGTAAAGTTTAACAAATGTTTACATTTTCAAAGATCAAACAAAAGACTTTTCAAATTTTTGTTTTAATATTCAAATATCAAACAAACTCCACATTCAAATTCTAATGAAATATTTAAATTTTGAACAGATCAGTTCCTCTAGAAAAACAATAAAGATGCATCTCTGACCTGCTTCATCAGTATGCAGTGGAATAATCACGGAGGGACCAACACCTATGCGGGTGACCGCAGCGATGGAGAGATTGTAAGGTGTAAATGAAATGAGTTCCGAGAGCATTAGGTGTGTTTCAGTGGTGTAGGTTTTGTTGACGGTCCCAGGACCCTGTAAAGCTACAGCATAATCTATGATCTCGCCATTGGCCTCCACTGGGGGGAACCATGACACATGGATGGAGGTGCTGGAGAGATTCCTACTAGCTCCAGGCAATGGAGGAGAACTTGGGACTGTCAAAACACAGACACACAATAGTTTTCAATCAGTAAGTTTGCTTTATATACATGTGCATGTAAAAAACAGGAAGTGATGAATACCATCTTCATCTGTTCGCAGGTGTAGCATTGCAGTGTGGTTTAAAGCTGATCCAGCACTGGTTGCCGGGGTGACTTTTATGATGTAGGGAAAATACTTCCTGAGCTTGGTGAAGAGGTAGATGTTGTCTGTGGTAGTTTTGGTGATGGTGATGTTGACCGTGCGGTTGATGGACGCATGGGTCATACCCACCTCTTGGAGGCTCAGCTGATAGAAGACTCTGCCGTTGGGCTCCAGAGGAGGGTCCCAGCTGATCACTACAGCCGTAGAGCTATAGATCGTAGCAGTGAGGTTGTGGACGGGACCACTCGGCACTGCACGGGGGGAGGATGTAGAAGAGACACAATTAATAATGTGTGAAGAACGGCTAACAGTTACCCTTTAGAACAGGGAACAAATCATTGCAGTCAAAGTAATAGATGTCGGTTCAATGTGCAACCAAGAAATGCAATGAGGCTTTGTTCCCCAATCTAAAGTAACACAATTAGGGTTTATCTCATGAAAACTTGCAATATCAGGACATATTTCACCTCAAAAAAATGAAGCCTATTAAAGGACAATTAAAAGGTTTTCATAAAGTTCATAAATAAAAAAAAAGATAATAAAAATCATAAAGGTAAATAAGTAAAGAAACAAACATTTTAAAAATAATTATCATGATAAAAACTTAGGATTTTATTTGAATACATAATATATATATTTTAAATCTTAGCGTGAAATATGAGCCAGAAATTGAGATTCACCCATTAGATGTACAAAGAACTATCCTTTTAATTAATATATTTAATTAATTAATTAATTTATGCTTAAATAAAGCATAAATGGCACACTGCAACACCAAACCAGTCAACGATTCAAACTAGTCAACAATTATAATGATTAAAAGCAGTGAAGATAAATGATCCATCTTAAACCAAGAGATTAAAATATTCATTAAAAATACAAAAGCACACATACAACACACACATGGACATGATATTCAGCAATCACACACATCTGTGAATCTGTGGAAACGAAAAAGGGTAAATAAACTCCGGCACAGCGTCTGCAAAATCCAGAGTCAAGATCACAGATATAGAAAAGCAGAGAGAAGCAGAGAAAGACAGGCTGATTGTGTTAGTAAGAAAATCCATCTGGAGCATGTTCTGTGTCTGAGATATTGCTTTGGGCTGGACTGAGCTGCTGAAGCTGGGTGATTCTCCAGTAACTACAAACCGATCAGACACAATCACTCACAAAGAGCCAAACAGGACCATGGCATTATTTATTCATATAGAACACTTTCAAAATCTCAGACGCCAGGGGAGAAAAACCTTCATCTGTCTCAGAAGGTCACCTCTGCACCATTTTTCCCAAAATCACACAAAAATGGTTTGTTTTGACTCTTACATAAAACCTTGACACAGGGTATAGATTCTGAAACCAGGTTAACATATTCACATAAACATAAAGTATGAAATAATTCATTTTTGTGTTCAAAGATTACTCTTTCAAGCATAAAATAAGATATTTTAAAGAATGTGGGCATCAAATGTACTGTACTTCTCAATTGTTTCTTTTAAGAATCAGCTCAGATGTTACTCCTAAATGAAAAAGGAGAGCAAATGAGCTGTTGACATTTAATAAAAGCCTAGAGCTATAAAAATAAAGTAGACAGCTGCTCGGATCATTTGCTTTCATGAGTAATGTTTGAGATCTCTGACCTGCAGATTTGGCCAAATCTGAGTACAATTTGAGATCTCGTTTGAGATACATGACATTACTGGGCTCTTTTTCTCAGCACAAAGATGTGAGAAGCAGGAGACAAAAAAGTCTCCAATTGCTCTCAAGCAGGAAGTGTTACAATATTTCTTAAGTCAAATTGACACATTTACAATATTCTTGAAGACAAATATATAACATGTTACATAATATACCCAGAAACTTACAGCAACGTGCTATTTTCTACTTTTAACAAATCCTGTGAGAGGAAATGCAAGCTGGGATAGTCTAGAGACAGACAAATAAAAGGCTTTGAGATCAGACGCACTCGGTCTCGTGGTGAGGGCTCAACAATCCCAGTTTGCAGCTTGAAGGAAGTTGTCTCCTTTCACAAAATGTGCTGAATCTGTGTGGTGTGTGTGTTTATGAGTTTCAGTGTGATTTTTTTGGGAGCATAATCTGTTGGAAAAGTGGTGCAGAGCTGCGCTTCTCCCCTGAGTGTGTGAGGAGACTGACCGTCCTCTAAAGCGGTGAAGTTTAGATGGGGACTGAACACTCCCCCATCACCAACAGAAGTGCTGGAACTCATCCATACACTGTACTCATGTCCTGCCCTCAGATCAGACAACACCAACCAGTGCTCTGAACCAGGAACCGTCTACAGAGAGAGAAAGAGAACATGGTCATTCACTGCACGACTGAATCAGCATTTCATTTTGAGTTCGATCTAGCTATTCTTAGAGATTAAATCCTTTACAAAAAGTACTGTGGTGGTTCATCATTTACTTACCCTCCTCTTGTTCCAAACTTGTATGAGTTTCTTACTTCTGTCGAATTACAACATAAGATATTTTGAAGAATATGGGTAACCAAACAGCTGACTGTAGCCACCGATTCAGTCTTTAGTATTTTTTTCCCATACTATGGAAGTCAATGGCTACCGTCAACTATTTAGTTGCCCACATTCTTTAAAATATCTTATTTTATGCTTAACAGAAGAAAGAATCTCAAACAGGTTTGGAACAACTTCAGGGTGAGTAAATGATGACAGAATTAAAATTTTAGGGTAAACTATTCCTTTAAATGTTACATGTCCAAAAACATGGTACATTTTGTTTTTTTCTACTTATTTCTTTCTGATTTCTGCACAACTAATCGGGATTGTAAAACCTGCCAAAGGAATTTGATCTAATGAGGATATCAACACAAAAAACAACAACCTTAAAAGGTAAAAATGTCTTCATTCATATCTTAAACAAATCATATCTTAAACAAATCATATCTACAGTAAATTGCTGCTAATTAGGTGTGACATGATTCCAGTGACAGCCGATTTAGTTAGTTAACAACTAATTAGAAAACTTATTAAAAACATTCTTTTTAAAAAAGACCAGTTTTGCATTAAGATTATCAAACGTGACAGCAAAGACTTCATTTGAACTTTCTATTCATCAAGGAATACTGAAAAAATGCATCACAGTTTCCACACAAATATTAAGCAGCACAACCGTTTTCAACATTGATAATAAGAAATCAGCATATTAGATTGATAATAATCAGAAAAATCAGCATATTAGAATTATTTCTGAAGGATCATGTGACACTGAAGACTGGAGTAATGATGCAGAAAATTCAGCTTTGCATCACAGGAACAAATTATATTTTAAAATATATTTAAATAGAAAATAGAATACCATCATGTTTAGTGTCTCATCTGTGTTGAGTGTATATACCTGCGTATACTGTGTGTTGTTTTTTGTATTGTCAGTGTAGTAGATGGTATAGTATTGGATGATGCCGTTGGGTTGGTTTGGAGGACTCCAGCTGAGACGTACTGTAGTGGTGGTGAGGAGTGTGTATGATACATTCTGTGGAGGGTCAGAGGGGGCTGCAAAACAGAGAAAGCATTTATCTTTATGACTATGATGGCAATGCTGTTTCATGATATTGTGGTTCTTTTTCAAAACTTAGTGAGCTGCCTGACTCTCTAGGCTAAATGAAACTAAACCTTATAACTGACTGAATTGAAGCATCCTGAAAGAAGTTAAATGTTCTGTTATTATCTAACGCTTCTATATGCTTTCAATCTTTTAAAATTTTGGGATCGGTAAGATTTTGAAAGAAGTCTCTTATGCTCACCAAGGTTGCATTAATATGAGCAGTTGATCACAATTTCAGATAACTGTTTTTTACTTGAATATATTTTAAGATGTAATTTATTACTGTAATGTAATGTATGTATTTAAGTCAGATTTTTCCGTCATCTCCAAATGATTTCACAGTTTATTCTAGGATACTTGTGATGCTGCTATAATTTTTGGCCAAAATGAGGCATATGTGCCTTAACACTAGAAACATGCTTATGATGACAGAATGTGTTTGTGTTCACCTGATTCTATGGTACTGAACATGATGTAAATCAACATTCCTCCGTCTCCGAGTCGAGTCCAGCTGCTCACGGAGGCATTATATTGACCCAATCCATCCACACTCACCACCACTGATGTTTCCGTCACATTGGCGACAAACTCAGAGCTCAGATTCCTAATACACACACACAAATGTTAGTTTCAATCTTGTACGACAATAGCCAGGTCTTTGGTAAAAACTGATTTTAAATCATCGTTACTTACCACACTCTCAATATGTAGTATAAAATCTCAGAGTTGGCCTCCTCTGGAGGTTTCCAGGACAACTCTACCTCAGTATCAGACAATTTTCTGGTGATTAGGAATTTTGGAGGGGAACTGGGTACTGTCGTTTAGGAAAAACAGCTATTATAGACCCAAAACTGTGGAAAAGGACTTTACTCTTTGAACAAGACAGTGATTTGAGTTAGTAAATGTAAGAGAATGCCAGGAACGGCATCCACATTTGTCCATTCTGACAGCTGCTAATGGAAAAACTAACCAACCAAACACAGAGAAACAAACACAGACATTGTTGGTAGGTTCTGTCTCCTGAGGTAGAAAGATGAAACTTGGTTTAAAGGCAAAATTGATCCATAACACTGTAAAAAAAAAATCCCAGATTGCTTTCAGAAATGTCCTGTGGGAGAAATAAAAATAGTTAAAAATAATAAAACACTTTCGTTTCCTGCACGCAGACCTCTGAAAATCTGTAAAATGAAGAAATGTTTAAGTGTGACCTTAATACAGTACTTTCTGCATCTTTAGCCAGATCCTGATAAATTCACCATGAAGACTGAACCTAAAAAGTAAAAACAGCTTCATTAAACACCACAAGGTCCGTTTGTTAAAACCGAACACTCACCGTCCTCCAGTGTGGTGATGTTTAGGATCTCACTCGTGTGGTTTCCCAAGCCGATCAGTGTGGCGGCCTGTACGCTGATACGGTAGCGCGCATACTTTCGCAGGTTGGACAGGGTGACATAAGGCACGTGTGTGGTTTGGTTCAGACTGTGTGTGGCATTCCAGTATTCTACGTTGTAGAACAAGATGATGCCATTTGCGAGAATCGGGGGTGACCATGACACATTCACCTCACTGGATCCGATGTTCTCATAGGTCAAATCGTAAGGTGGGCTGCCAGGCACTGCAACAAACAATTAAACTGCACATTAAGATGCTTAGTTCAAAAAATATATCAGCCTGCAAATTGCTCATATTCAATGAGTCCTCTCACGCATGTGATAAATAATATTAGAACATGAAGTGGGCTTTTTAATTAATTCATCTTTTTTTAAACAGAAGGTAGAGAGGGGGAATGAGATTAGAATCTGCATTTCCCACATAAGCAGCTCAATATGCTGAAATAACAACATGCTGGAGCTCATGCACTAATCACTAGGCCACGCTCCATTTTTGGCCTGTTCTATGGAGTTTTTTCAACATAATGAACATTACAAAGAGGACAGGGGAGAAGAAGGGGAAATGACTAAGATTTAAACTTACTGTAAATCACCTGCATAAGCACCATGGCTCAATATGTCAGAGCAGGTGTGCTAGGAAGTGGGCTTTTATGAATGAAGGTGTATTCATACACTAACATTCAGAAGTTTGGGGTCGGTAAAACTTTTTACTAATTCTGAAAGAAGCAATGCTCACCAAGGCTGCATTTATTTGATCAAAAATATAGTAAAAACAGGAATAATGTGAAATATTATTTAAATTTAAAATAGCTATTTTCTATTGGAATCTATTTTAACATTACATTTATTTCTGTGATGCAACGCTGAATTTTCCTCAGCCATTTCTCCAGTCTTCAGTGTCACATGATCCTACAGAAATCATTCTAGTATGCTGATTTGGTGCCCAAGAATATTTCTCATTATTATCAATGTTGCTTAATATTTTTTTTGCAAACTGTGATACTTTTTTAGAATTCTTTGATGAAAAGAATGTTCAAAAGAACAGCATTTATTTGAAATAGAAAGCTTTTGTAACATTCTAAAAGTCTTACTTTCACTCTTGATCAATTTAATGTGTTCTTGCTGATTAAAAGTATGTTTGCTGCAACAAAGTGTCTGAAAGTCATTCATCTTTATTAATGAGAGTTGGTGATTTACATTCCACTTCATGCAAATTGAAGTAGAGATGCGATGAGCGAATAGCTACTGCCGTAAAGACACTAGAGTTCACATAATTTTATGCTTGATAGAGTTGGAGTGGGAATGTCTACTAGAAATCAAACAGCACCAAGACTTTAATCGCTGTATGTGTGAATGTGCCTTAACTGTAGGAACCCTTTGAAAGGGAAAGTGTGGGATTTCAGGATGAGATTGGATTAAAGTTTTATGCCTCTTCTAGTTTTTCAATTAAATATGAACACACACACACACACACACACACACAATGACTCACCATCCTCCCCTGACAGCATCTGTAGAGTATCAGAAATCTGGTTCCCATGTCCGTGTAGCGTAAACGCATGGACAGTCACATTGTAGTGTGTGTATGGCTTCAGGTAGCGCAGTGTGGCACTGGGCGATGTGCTGTTGACTGTGTTGCTGTATGTGCCGTTGGTGTAGGAGACCTCATACAGGCGGATGATGCCGTTGGGTTTCTCTGGCGGAGACCAGGTGAGAGTAGTGGTGGAGGAGGTGGTTTTCACTACGGCCAGATCCCGTGGGGGTGAATCCGGCTCTAAAAGGCAGATGGAAGCATGCTAAGAGATTTCCAAAATGTTTAAGGGGGCTTCTGTATGTATATGAAACATAACTGGCTCAATACCATCCTCTAGTGTCATAACGAAGATGTAGTCTTCATCGGTCAGTGGACTTTCCCCCACGGCGGTGGAAGCGGCCACACGTACCTTATAACTGCTGTACTTGTCCAGACCTGTGGATATGAGCATATATAGTGTTATACGGTGGCCTCAAAAACTATTTGAACACCTGGGTCACACCTAGAAATGTCTAAATGTCATTGCATTAGATGTAAAATATCCAAGCAGGATGAATCTGCAAACAAATGCAAGGGTGTTTTCTTGGAAATTCACAATTTTTTTATTATTTTTGCTCAATCTTGGTGATTTTTTAGTGGATGTGTTAAGTCGGCCGAATGTACACCAGATGTACACTACTGTTCAAAAGCTTGGGGTCGGAACGATTTTTTAATGTTTTTGAAAGAAGTTTTTTGTGCTTACAAAGGCTGCATTTATTTGATCAAACATGCAGTTAAAGCAATAGCATTGTGATATATTATTAAAATTTTAAATAACTATTTTCTAATGTACTAGATTTTAAAATGTAGATTATTCCTAGGATGCAAAGCTGTATTTTCAGCATCATTACTCCAGTCTTCAGTGTCACACGATCCTTTATTATAGGGTGTTACCTGTGAGCACTTCAGTGGTGGTGTCCGCCATCTGTCGTAATTGCTGGTTTGTGAGGAGATTTTGTGCATATACAGTGTAGTGAGTTATCTTGCCGTTAGGGTTCAGTGGTGGCTCCCAAGTAACACGGATGGAGGTGGAGGTCAGGTTCTGATAGGACACATTCTGAACAGAGCTGGGCACTGTGGGGAAAGACTGGGGTTACTTTATACAGTGGTTGTATGTTATAACTACTGTACTTCAACTCAGAAGTCTGAATGTATTGTACCTTGTTCAGTTGTTTTCACTGTAACTTCTGTGGAAGGCCCTTCTCCAATGATATTTTTTGCCGTCACGCTAAATGTATACTCGGTGAAAGGACTCAGTCTTCTAACCACATACATGATGTGATCAGACGACAGGTCTGCTGTCTCCTCAGTGGCAGGTAGGACTGTCAATCAAAAAGCACAACCAATCAGAAAACAGAAAGCAATTTTCCCAATAATTTTCTCCATTGGGATTTTAAAAAATTCCTCAATAAAGATTTTTTGGAAGCACATGAACTAGCACAGCAACATTACAAACTTTCCAAAAGTGATAAAAAAAAAAAAAATGATGGTACAATATAAACCTAATTACTATAAGTCATGGACTACTGTAAGGACTAAGTATAGCATACTTATTTAAATAAATTAATAAAAAAATTCAGATTTATATAAAATACTTATATTTTATATAAAATGTAAATAAAAGATAAAACTATATAAATATAAAATATTTTATATAAAAATGTATTAAAACAAAATACAGGTCACAGCTGCTCTTTTCACCAATTTCAACCATTTTCATGGTTACAGTGACTTCTCTGATTGGTGGATTATTTCTTTAGGATTATGGGTAGGGAAATAAGCAGGGGAAAAAACACACACACGATTTAAAAAAAATGAAATGTCTTGTCTGTACTTCAGTCAGTGTTGTTATTAACAAATTTGTAACCATGAAAAAAAAATGTTGGTAATTGAAACAAATTTGGAAAAATAAAATACATAAAACAAAAAAAACAGCAGCTGAAAAAAATGGAAACTAAAATTAAACTAAAATAAATTATGAGAGTGCATAACATAAAATTTAAATGAAAACAGAAAATATGAAAATAAAAACTAATAAAAAGCTAATTCAAAATATTAATCCACACTATAATAGTTTATAAATAATTCTAAATGAACACAGAGTAAAGTAGGTCTGTCTTGACAGGTTTATTCATGTTGCTAAAAAATAAATTTTATCCATGGAGATTTTAAATAATATTTATACTTACGGATACCTAATATAAATGGGTTATTATGAGTTGTTATTTTGGTTGTGCTTTTAACAGTAATATTAGCATCCAAGTCACCACAACAGTTATTTACCCTCTATTCCAATAGTGGTGGCAGCTCTTGTTGAGGGGTTCATCTGCTGCTGGGTGGAGTCTGTGGCCACTGCCCTAGTGGAGCGACGGGGCTGGGAGGGGCTTAAGTTAACCAATGGTGGTTGGTCAGTTCCTTGAGTGACAGCTGAAAGTTCAGTCAAAGGCTCCTCAGTCACAGCCTCAGTCTCAGCTTCAACAGATACATCAGTTCTGTCATGGGTCACTGTGAGCCAGGGTGGAGGTGTGTGGGGGGTGCTCGGGGTCAGAGGAAGGTCAGAGGTCAGTTCCGTATCAGTGCTGGTAAAATCACGACCCAAAGCGGGAAACGCTCCGTGTGAGGTGAGAATGAATGCAGATGACGTAGTGATGTCAAGTGACCTCGCATTACGACGAAGTGGAGCATTCTGTAAACACAACGACATATCAGTAAAGCTAAACTAAACACAATACAGTGATTGTGTGTGTGTGTCTGTGGAGTTTAGTGTGTTTTACCTGTCCTCGCAGGGTGATGTCCTGTACAAGAGTACTGCGGTATAACACTAGTATCCGATAGTGTGTGATTAGTCCGTTCGGTCGGCTCGGGGGTCTCCAGGACAGACGGACAGACGTGGAATCCACAGCCTCTGCTGTCAGATGAGACACAGCACTTGGGGCTAACGGGGAAATAAATGCACACACACATACAGTTAACAATAAACTTAACCAGGGGCCTTAGCACAGTTCCAAGAGGCCCGCAAGATGACTTTAAACTAGATAAAAAAGTTTGTCAAGACAAACTTTAGGTTGGCTTGAGAAAGCCTAGCCTGAAAATTTAAAGCAGTTGTAAAAGCCTGAAGTTTGAAAATGTAGATAGATTATATAGATGTTGATAACATGATTAGCATGTTTTTAACATGATTGGCCTGTTACTAGCATATTGTTGGCATGACTAGCAAGTGACTAGCATGTTGCTAGTATGATTAGCAAGTGACTAGTATGTTTCTAGCATGATTAGCATGCTACTAGCATGCTGCTAGCATGATTAACAAGTGACTAGCATGTTATTAGCATGACTAGCATGTTTCTAGCATGATTAGCATGTTACTAGCATGTTATTAGCATGATTAACAAGTGACTAGCATGGCTAGCATGTTGCTAGCATGATTAGCAAGTGACTAGCATGTTTCTAGCATGATTAGCATGTTACTAGCATGTTATTAGCATGATTAACAAGTGACTAGCATGGCTAGCATGTTGCTAGCATGATTAGCAAGTGACTAGCATGTTTCTAGCATGATTAGCATGTT